TCCTCCTCTCGTCCTCCTCTCCTCCTCCTCCTCCTCCTCCTCCTCCTCCTTCTCCTCCTCCTCTCCTCTCTTCGGGTGCTCGCCTCGCCGCGCACCCACGCGCACCGGGCCTTGCACTTTGACTGCCGTGCGGCTCCTGTCGTCTAGACGTGGAGTCGCGAGGGACTTGCCCGGCCCTCGCCCCACCACCTCGTGTGTGTGTGGAGAAGTGTACCCGGCCTCACCTCTCCAGGTGCTCGCCGCGCGGTACAACAAGATCCACTCTGCGACGGCGGCGGAGCTCCGGCCGTGGTGGCAGCGCGACGAGGCTGGCGCGTGGTGCTACACGCTGCAGAGGAAGACGCGCACCGCCGAGCAGTGGCGGGCGGCGCTTCTCGCCTCGCAGAGCCGGTGCGGCGAGCTCTCGCTAGTAGCTCACCCGCCGCCCCTTCCGGCGTCCGTCTATCTCTATTTCACCACCGGGTCGAAATAGGGCTAGAGGCCCTCAAGCCGTTTCGACGTCCGGTGGTGGATAGAGGTAGATTAGCTGTGAGTGCGGCCGGCAAGCCGGCCACGGAATGGGGAGCGTATACCACTATCATAGTCAGTCAGTCAGTCAGTGTCACACACCTCCTAGCATGGAGGACCGGCCCACACGCACACACACACGCTGCACACGATTGGCGCGGGGAGCCGACACGAGGCACACTGCCACCGGCTGCACCACTGTCATAGGTCGCGCATGAACGACCGCGTGTGCGGCATCAACGGGTGCACCATCGTCAACGTCACAGCCTCGCAGGGAGCGGCGACAGAGACGACGGCGGGGGTGCCTCAAACCCCTTCCCCCCCCTCGGGCTGTAGGTTGGCGGGAAGCAGCACCCTGGCCTCTGCCGCCCTCCGGACATCAGCGGCGCCAAGCGGCCGCGCGAGCCGGTGTCGCAGTTCTCGCCGACCGGGCTCGGCGCTTCGGGCGCCGGTGTGGGGGGAGATGGGGGGAGAGGGGGGGAGAGATGCGCCGAGGGGGGAGGATTTGCCTCAGTACGCCGAGGTAGGGGGGGGGCGGGGGAGGCGGGGGGAGATTTGGCGTGGAGGGACTCTGGGGAGATCTGGGGAGATCTGGGGAGATCCGGGGAGATCCGGGGAGATCCGGGGAGATTAGGGACGAGCCCCGACCCAGTGGCGTGTGCGTCAGAGTCTCTCGGGCTTGTCTTCAGGCGCGGCGCGGGGAGGAGGGCGCGGCCGCGGCCGTGGCTCTGGCCCGCGTCGGGGGCGGGGCGGGCAGAGGCGAGCCGACGCGGGGGAGGAGGTGGGCAGAGTAGCGAGTAGTAGTGCCGTAGTGTCAGTAGGCGCGTGACGCGCAGGAGCGCTGGTGCGTGCGTCCCTCTCGCCACACACTGCAGCCTCCATCAGCATGACAGCCCCTCC